CCTAGTCGATTGCGAAGTTGAACGGCACTGGAGAAAGTGGGTAAGCCTTCCGGACTCCATTATTGATGTCGAATTTCTCTGTTTCTTCTCGATAGACCAAAATCCGGACCTTCGTGCAACGGTAGTATGATCTCATCAAGTTAACGAGTTTAACCCGCACGCCATCGGCAGGTAGGATTCTCCAGAGTGCTCTACAGTCAACTGACTTAAAGGCAGCTCGAAAATCAATGAAGCAAATAAACGTGGGCTGCTGGAACTGGTAACGGTGATCGAGTGCACAACGTAGAGTGAATATATGGTCAGTGCAGCCTCCGCCTGCACGAAAGCCACCTTGATTATGGCGAGTTCGCAGCTTCCTCTCACTGGCAAAGTGGGAAACTAAGGTTCATGCGAAGGTTTTTGAAGCTATATCGATTGGGCTAATCTCGCGACAATTACTGCACACAGTTCGGCCACCTTTCTTGGGAAATGGCACTAGTAATGAGGTACTCCACGAGGAAGGACAGATTTCGGTCTTTCATGTCGAGCAGAGGAGATTGTGCAAATGGTCAAAGAGGTCTGGTAGACATGTCTTATAGATTTCGTTTGGAAATCCGTCCGCTCCGGGAGCTTTCTTCGACTTCAGTCAGTCGGTCAACAACAGCAGTACATCAGCCATTTGAACTGATGCTTCGCTGCTATGCAACCATGATGACCTATGGAATAAAGAGTAATAAGAGCGAGAGAAGGGGCGGCTTACCTGAAAACCTTAATGTCCTGATCAAACATTCAGGGTCAAGGCGCCTACACCTTGTGTTAACAACATATCGTCACAAACCTGCTGACTATCTTGCAAAGATAAGACGGCATCAGCGAGACAGCTTCGTTGCGGCTTTCACTGCCCTGCGTCATAATCAGCCATTACCTCGCAGATAACTCAGCACCAAACATACTTTAAACAGGCAGTCCAACTTGGAAACGACATCAGTCACACCACTGGTGTCGACTGCGAGCCATGTATTGTAACCTCTCGAGCCAAGCACAAGGCGGGTCACGTGAACTCCAGCCTGGAAGGCGAGACGGGTCGACGGCACTAAGTTGAATCTTCAGTGACTTCATTTCCCGCTGCCAAATCAGCCTTTATCCACCTCGAGCTTTGCTCCACCCTATATCTGGCAGACAAAACAAGGCCCTCCTAGGTAAGCGCTGATCTGGCATACGTAGTACGTCCTTGCTTTCGTCTCAGTCAGCTGACAATTCAGATAACTCAACTACTAATCCGGAAAAGCACCAACCGGCCGTTTTGCCCTATTGGGGTTCGTCAGTGGTGCGCATCCTTTGGTCCTCTTCTGATGATCCAACCCATGACTGCTAGTGGCTTGCGTTAACTAGCCCGCAGCTTATGCCACTGAGTCATGGTGCCACCGGACACCAGCAGTGCTGCGCAGACAACGATGATCAAAAACTTGAAAACACTCAGATCATCAGACCGAAGGAGCCAAGCCTCACTCCCATAGAGCAGGAAGGCCCTTACTGTGGCCTTGCAAACACGGCCTTTCAGACGGAGGGAAACTCCTTTCTGTCATCAAAGATGCTGCATGCTCCAGAAAGCAGTTCTGGCTTTTGCAATGCGTGAACTGACATCAGTTTCTATGCGCTTATCGTTGCTGATGCAGCTGCTATGTGAGTCGACCAACCACCTTGGGTTCCTCGTTATCAAGGGTCAAGGGATCATCAAGTGGTTGGTGGTCCTGCAGCAACACTTTGAAGGTGCGAAGAGCATACCCAATCATGGGACCACTAGACAGGCTATGCAGTTTTGATTGTACCGCCTCAACATCGTCGAAAAGCAAGACGATATCGTCCGCATAAACAAGATCAACTAACCTTTCACCAGGCAGTACCTCAACACCTACATCTTGAGATTCCGTAAGGGAACACTCCATGATAGCGTACAAGACGAAATTAAACAAGGCGGGATATTGGACAATCCTGACAAACGTCACTTGTTGTCGGAAAGTCATCTGACAAATCACCGTAGCCCCTGACGCGAGCTATAGTGTTTGAGTATAGAGCACGTAAGGTGTCCACATATTTCGTGGGAACACTATTCCGACACCGACATACACACGAATACACCTCACAGATCCAATATGCTGCTGATGCGCTTGCAGCATTATTGTACACTTGTCAATCATTCTTGTTGGTATTGATATGATCATACCTGTTCAGGCGTGTCTCGCTTTGCCGAGAATATACTATGCATTTATTTAGCTAGCTAACTTGTCACTCTGGCCACTGAGTTAGCGCAGAGTGTGTCGCCTGCTGGAAACGCCGTAGCATGGGAGGAATCGCGAGTAGCGGACATGTCATGAAGTTTCGTGGGGATCATGAGTACTTATGAGGACCCCAACCTCATCCAGGGGGGTCACCTCTAGCCTTTGCATAGCCAAGTGCTATGTGCAAAGCAGCAGGGATCTTGGAAATTGTCTTAACTTCTGGCCGTTTGAGCAGATGTCGATCACTTCCGCCCAGTTGTCAGGACACGTTGCACGCGGGTACGAACTCACCGAGAATGGTGTTCCCGGCTACCCTTACCTGATTTAACCCGTATGCTTGGCGGTTGACCGCGGTGTGGCTGCTGCCGAGTGTAAGCAACATTTCTGAGCCACAGTCACGTGCTACGTATGCCTGGTCACCGCTTACCTAGGAGAGCCTTGTTTAATCTGCCGGGTGTAGGACGGCGCAAGGCTCGAGGTGGACAGAAATTGACTTGGCAGCGGGAAATAAAGTCACTGACGACCAAACTGGGTGCCGTTGGTCCGTCTCGCCTTCCGGGCTGGAGTCCACGTGACTCGCCTTGTGCTTGGCTCGAGACTTTACAGGACATGGCTCGCAACCGACACCAGTGGCGTGTCTGCTGCCGTCTCCTAATTGGATTGCCTGTTTAAAGTGTGTTTGGTGCTGAGTTATCTGTGGGGTGTAGAGCTCCCTGATTGATAAGTAAACTTTCATACATCATCAGTATGGTAGTCTATGAAAATGCGGGGAATCAGTAGTTTTTCCAATACCTTTAGTAACTCAAACGTGCACACTATTGACTGATATTTCCAAGATCCTTTTCTAGGCACTGATGTTAATTTGGCTGATTTCTAAATCTTGATACCACTCGTTAAGCATCTATTCATGATCTCTGTCAAAGGTGTCGTTAATACTTCTGTGCGCTTCTTCGGCGCTCATGATGATAGAGCATTTGGTCCACACTTGACTTCAATCTTGTGAGTTTCTTGTAAACACTTGTGAAATCAAATAGTAGGAAGCTCAGTAGGGATGAGGAAAGGCAGAAGAGTTGTGTTTGGTGGTGAGGAGCTAAGTTCAGAGTTGCGTTCATCGACGTCCTCGGTGATGAGTGTTCGGAAGGAATTCTTTCCGAAGATTTGTCCTATAGGCCTCCACAGGTCACGGCAACTGTGGTTGCCTAAAACAGTCTAAATGTGATATATTTAGCCTTCCTATTTAGGCTTTTATGGACAGAGACAAACGCTTAACACAGGCAGTTAGCTTGTGTTTATAATCCTGTCTTTTTTCCTCCTCAGTTGCTTAAGCACTAGAGATGAAAATATGCCACTTCGCACATAGATTGTCTCAATGGCGCAACACAGATCAAAACGGTTTATACAGTCTGCAAGGTGCTCGCATTGAACTGACATGTCTTCACTGCTGAACTTCGAAGAACCAGTTAACCAAAGTATTGCTTTGAGTTTTTCAGTCTTATCTGCTGAGCAGTTCCGTCGTTTAGCACTTCTGGACGGTTTTTCTGTCAGTGCAACATAGTTGGCCTTTATAACTTGCGACATAGCTTTATTATGAAATAATCGGAAGTACCAAGAGGTGCACGCTTTTGTGTAGAAAATAGCTCGATTTTGTTAGTAAATCCTAACTCTGGATGCACCTCGAGTCTGTTAGGGAATTTCACCATGGCGTTATTCTAAGTGTTGTCACTCCTACTGACGTCACCGGTGAGAACACAGATGAGACATTCTAATTTTTGTTGCAACTTCAAGGTAATGTGGTCTGCAAACTTTTGCAGCTCGGACAGCGCTGCGTCCGGGGCTACATACACGTTCCCAACTACGAGAATTAGAAAAACTCTCAAAAACTCTTGTTTACTCTCCAATAGGCGCAGCTTACTGAAGTTGTTGTGTACTCCGAGAGTTTTGAAACGGATTTACACCAATCTTTGTTAATGTAAGTGATGACACTTCTACGATGTTTGGGGTCTTCTGGTCGATCGGATCTAATGTGGTTGTAAGCATTGAGATTAAGGACTTAATCATCAATGTCAGAATGCAACCAAGTTTCCTGCAACATCACTATACCTGCATTTATTAATTCCCTTCACTGTAACATGTTTGCTAGATCATCAATTTTCCAGAGAAGCGATCGTACACTGCTATATAGCATCAGCGAAGTTTGCGCCTTTTTGGCGGGACAGCACTTGAGTTTTACTTACCAGTCCGCACGACGCTTTTTCTATTTTTCTTAAGCATTGATAGTTCTTTCAAAAATTTTTCCGGTCTTGTATCCGAACTCAACAAGAAGCGATTTCCCACATCTTCCCGAAAGTAAATCAAATCCTCAACCGAGTATGACAACACTGCTGTGCAATTGATTTACTTAAACAAAATAAAATAATTCCTGTAAAACAATGAATCCACATTGAGTAGTGCCAAATAATCTCCCGATGGTAACGGCAACAACCGAATTTGTAGGCCCCACCACACATGAGATGACAAGTTGTTCGACTTGTTCAACTTCTGTTCCACCAGGTTATTGAAATCGCTTTTCTTTCAAGCTCTAATACCCAGGATAGGTCATACTGCAGACGATGGATGTGCGATCACCATAGCTTTCCTTGCTGTATGTTCTAGGCACATGCTCCTTGTTCGATGGTTCGAACCATTGTTGCGGCACCACACGATCACTTTCACTCCTATATTATTATCCCTTTGTTCGTGCAGAATTTGGAAGCTGAGAACGCAAATTTGCGTATTCACTTGGACCAATCGAACACCGAGTTGACACGAATGAAGGATGAAGCGGGGCTGGAGACACGCGTTCTTCGCGATAAATTGACAGAGGTACAGGCAAAATTATCCATGATATCTTCTTCGCCGCCTACACCGAATCCGGAGTTAGTAAGAACACAGGAGCTGGCCCAGGTATGGAAGAGCGAATCGGTGCTTCTGTCTTGTTTGCTTTTGCGCCCTGGTATATTTATGGTTTCGAGGGGTTTCCCATTGGTAATCACCATCACCTTCTCAACACTTAAGCAAAGTAACATCTGTTTGCTCTCATTTGTGAATGTTGTTTGAGATTATCATATACCTACATCGAGGTTTGATTTGTGCACCTTACCTGTAGGTACAACGCACCTTTACTTTTCACCCTGCCGCTAATGGTGCTCGACAAATATCCCTGCTACACTTTAAACTTAACTGCTGCTCGACGGCCTTCATAGAGAAACTCGACGCTAACGTAGGGCGACAGTTTGCACACCTTTCTGACCCACTTAGGTACACTAGGTGGTACCGCCTGGCACCTCGGTTAAAAGTGTCTTGGTTTTTCACCTTGAATTTCAGTTGGAGTAGCACTCGCTTCTGTGAATACGTCTCACGTTGAACACCACTGCATCGTCACGTTTAACATTTCACCGCTGCCGTGTGATCAGGTTTTTTATCCAAAGCCTTCGGTTGGAGGTTCTGTGGTAGTATCCCAACCTACAACGACCAATCTTGCATAGTTCCTCCCGCAGTTTCGAACTGATCATCTTATGCACCGTTTGTAGCATGACGGACAGCGAAAGCGGCGTACCACAGACGCCTCATCTCTTTTTCCTAACACCAGATTACTAACCTACATTCCTTACCCCCCTCCCCCGGAGAAAGTGACCCCAGTGGTATCTTCACATGGTTTATCGTTTCACATGTATTTCATCTCACTATCCACCAGTTTTCTCCGACGAAAGATCTTTATCCGAACACTGTTCGGTTTCCCTCGTCGCATTCAAAATTCGTGCCCTACGGTAGATAGAAAATTGGTTGCACTTGTACACAAACTGAATACTATTTGTGTTGATGTGTACCAATTCTTGCGTAGCTGTCAGCGCAACTGTGCTTAACCTACCGACCCACTTTCGATCGTATGCGTCCAGAATTGCCGACACATTATCCACAGCTAGAGCTGAGGTTAACATTGTTAGATGCATTGTCTGAACCGAACAATACCAAAAACTCCGTTTATGTTAGCGATTTCCTCACCACTTGGGCTGAGTCCTAGCTGATTGGTGGTGTTATTCCTGTGGACAACTGCCCTCAAAAATCAACTGAGGTTAGGTCACGAAGCAGTGATAATGTTCGTTTGTGATTACCGCCTCTTTCCTAACGGATTAAAGCCCTGACACTGCCGAAGACTCTTAACACGAACTTGCACGGTGTTTCGCAGTGTTACCCGTGCAGATCTAGTCTTAGCCCTTGGCAAGTATATGAATATGCAAGTTCTCTGGCCTTCTCTGGAGCTTAGCTAGGTGCTGAGTTCGAACGTGGTTCTGAATTCACGGATAGTGACGAGCATCCATTGCAACAATGCACCGAATCTCAGCTGTTTCGCAACAGCACCGCCTTCAGGCACAGCAGTCACCGATGTGTCACTTCGTGTAATGATCATCATCATCATCATCATCCTCTTCATCATCCTCGTCCTCATCATCATCCTCATCCTCCTCATCATCCTCCTCTTCATCATACTCATCATCATCCTCATCCTCATCATCGTCGTCATCGTCATCATCGTCATCATCCTCATCATCATCCTCATCATCACCTTTTTGAATACGGAAAAAGCGTTTGACTACGTGCCGCGCAAACTTGGTGGCTGTGCTTGAGTCTTGTGGAATCAGCAACCTTCTATTCAACTGGTTCGAATCACATCTGAACGACCGAACACAAAGAGTAAAGGTTGGTCAGTATGCTTCTTCTTCCACAAATGTCACGAGTGGTGTCGTTCAGGGCGGTGTATTGGGCTCATTGCTTCTCTTCATCTACATAAACCACATATGTGATTGCATTCGACACAGGCGCCCATTTTTATTTGCGGATCACATCAAACTAGTGTACTCACTTCTACCTGACCAACTGGGACTATGCTTAAAAAATTATGAGCGAAGACCTTTCATCCCTAAATAAATGGAGCAAAAGCAGGTCAATAAGGCTTCCGGCTGATAGTTTTCTGCTACTCTGTCACAGATGCAGTATACCAGATGGATCCATCACTCTCACTGGTACGTCTATCCCGACTGCGTATTCTGTTCGATACCTAGGCATTCGATACTCCAGCAGCTTCGACTTCTCCGAACTCATCTTACGTCAAGTAGCGAAAGTTACTTTACTAGAGGTCATTTTCACTATTCCATCCATGATTTGAATCATTCAAACTCATAGCGCGACCCACTCTAGATTATTGCACCATCAAACATAGCTAATAATGCGAAACAGATAGAATTGCTTTGGAAAATGTCCAGCGCTCATGTACCAAAATGCTCATAGGGCACTCATCCACATTCACCAATGAGGACCGATGTTCCTGCCTCCAGCTCGATCCACTGGCTTCGATAGCTTAAAAGCAATCTTACTCTCCTCTACAATATAATATACTTGCGAGTTTTCTCAATCAGTACGACCGTCGCTTTCCATAATGTCTCAACCTGTCCCACTCGTAATGGGAAATATCTACTGCTCTTACAGAGGACCAAGCAAAATATCTGCTTAAATTTCTTAATGAGGTACGCCCATCTGTGTAATAAAATACCGTTGCAATTAGGGACCAGCGAGAGCCTGTCAATTTTAAAACCTCATTTAAAAACTATTCTTTCGTTTTGATTCGTTCTCCGAGCTGAGTAATTTAATGTCAAACGTTTCACCACTTCCCTCAGTGGCATCTTCAGTGTACAGCTCCGCAGGGGAAATCTCACGGAAAATGTCGTTGGGACGTAGCGTTTGAAATTACCCTCGTAGATCTGTGTCCCGTGACCTCTGTTTGTTCGATACTTAGCCGTCCAGCTTCACGCTTTCTCAGCTGTAGGTAAACGGGATCGAGATCAATGCGGAGGTTCAGGGAATTCTCCGTAGAGAACCATGCCTCGAGGAATTCCCTTCCTTTTCTTGTCCCTCCGTGCGCCAAAATTTCTGTTTTGTCCCAGTTAACATTGTGTCCTTCCTCATCGAGGTGTGCTGAGATCTGTGACGATACATGATGATATCGACACGCACGTTTGTGCTCTTTTATTCTTGTGGATAGTTTTCTCCCCGTTTGACCTATATAGTCTTTGTCACAGTTCTCGCATTTTATCCTGTAGATGACATTTTGGTGTTCTTGTGCCTCCAGTCTTTCTTTAGGTCTAGATAATATTCTTTTCAAAGTCCCAGTTGGTATGTGAGCTATCGTCAGATTGTGCGGTTTGAGGAGTCTGGCTGTCTTTTCCGATATGTTTTTGATGTACGGCAAGGCGATGTGTTTCGTCGTCGTTCGTGCAGGTGTGGTAGTTGTGCTCTTTCGGTTTAGGTGTCTTCGGATGAAACTGCGTGGGTAGCCGTTACGAATGAAAGACATAAACAGATGTTCTTCTTCCTTACGTTTTGCCTCCGCAGTATTGCAATGCGATTCTATCCTTATTTTTGTGACACTTAGGGTGATTGCTGTTAAAGTTTAGGATTTGGTCGGTGTGTGTTGCTTTTCTGTAAACTGATGTCTGTAATTCGCCTTTTACCGTTCTGGTGACCAGCACGTCCAAAAAGGGTAGTTGGTTTTCCACCTCTTCTTCTATGGTGAAACGAATGCCTTCCATTGCATTGTTAAGTAGATCTTGTGCGGTCTGTAGCTGGTTGCGTTTGAGAATCACAAACGTATCGTCAACGTATCGCACCCATAATTTCGGACTAAGCACTGGGAGTATATCCTCTTCCAATCTCTGCATGTCGACTTCTGCAATGAGTCCAGATATGGGGGATCCCATTGGGGCTCCTCTGATTTGCTCGTAGAACACTCCGTTGAATTTGAAGTAAGTAGTAAGACACAAGTCGAGTAGCTTGCATATGCTTTCAGTTGTTAGCCTCCCAGTCGTTTGTCCTCCATTATTCAGACGTTCTTTGATATTTTCTTTCGCTATCTGCCCGCCGGAAAGCCTCCATACAAGAACAGTTATTATTCCTCCATGAGTGCCTACGAAATGACATTTTCCCCAGAAGTGTAAACTACAAGCCTCCGATAAACCATCCGCAAGCGTGGGCAGTTGCAAGGCAGTTTGGAAAACGTATGGTGAGGATGATGATCACAGATGCACACAATCGGATCGAGAAATATGAAAGATGCCTTAAGGAACACCGAACTACATGCCTAAAAACAGTCGGCCAACAAATGACAGAACAGTTAGACTTAGTGATTGATCGCAAAGCAACAATTGCAAAAGTGAAAAAGCAGGCTGCCCTACAAGAAAAGTTGTCCAAACTGTCCAGCTTGAAGTGCGCAGATGTCAACGATGGTTGGGTCAGGAACCTATCCAAACGGAATCTCGATGACGTTGAACGAGAGGTCCTCATCAAGGGACTTAACTATAACTTCAAGGATGCTGGAATCCTGGAGTTCCTAGCAGAATTCGAAAATACCTTACAATCCAATGGAATTAACGAAGAAACCAAAACACAAATAAGACATGCCGTGGTTCCGATGCTAGCACGCAACAAGCAACACAATTCCTATTCAAAACAAGAGTAGAGTGCCCTAAAATCCTTGGAGGCCGACGAAACCATCGTAATCTTGCCTGCGGACAAGGGACGTATGACTGTCATAATGGACAAAACTGATTATATTGAAAAGGCAAGTCATCTCCTAGCCGACACAACAACCTATCGACGTATGGAGAACGATCCAACAGTAGGGTTGACAAATAAAGTGAATAAGACACTTAAGAAATTTCAAGAATTAAGTCAACTCACAAAGGGAGAGTATGATACAATGAAGGCTCGTGATCCAAACATCGCAGAGTTTTACGGGCTTCCTAAAGTACACAAAGAGGGTGCGCCGCTACGACCAATAGTATCACTCCCAGGTACACCAACTTACAACTTGGCTAAAGAATTATGGAAGGGCCTCAAACATCTGACCAGCG